TATGGAGAATTCTGAGTATGTTTGTCTTGGAATAGGCACCATAATGAAAGTTGGCATTTGATACATGCCACAACTGGGCGCGACCCAAATTCTTAAGAAGCATACCCTAAAATACTTAATCTATCTACATATCTATTTTTTACAATTTGTTTCTAGATTGTAAGGAATACATTAGAATTTATTTTTCCTGTTAAAATATATTTTTATTGTTTAGCATATTACTTAATCAGATTTTAACGGTTCTGAATCTAAAAGAACGATAGGTTCCATCTGAATGTCACTTTGCTAAAAATTTTACACTTTTCATAGGATGCTAATGCTAGAGCGATTTGGAATATATAGCGAGATAGACATATTTTTTATTTGTATCTTAAGTACAATTATACGTTCAAAGTTTTATATAAACTTTCCCTAATAATATTATTCTGTTACCCATTTTAGAGAGATTTAGATTAGAAATACGAGTAGATTCTATTTTAGCTTTTCGTTCAGAACCCTAAAGGAAATTTTATTATTAAACCTTTTTCAATATTGTTCTAAAATTATAGTTAACTTTAAATGCATTAACCTGTCACACTTTAAGTTGATAAACAATACAACTTAATAATGTTAGTGGGCGAAGGCAGGTGGCTGCGCCCACGCGTGGGTCAGTGCCGTGTGCAGACTAACGTCACCGTCGCAGCCTCCGATGACGTGTACCATCGCGGAACTCCATTCACAAAGACTTGTTTATTAACAATGTCACAGTAAACTCGTACATAGATACACCCAATACATTAGATACTTTTGTAAATAATATAAATGTCAATAAGTTTATGTTTAGTAATTTCATCCGATAAATTCCAATTGGTAGCTAGAAAATGTATGAGGTAAGTAATATTTTTTTTAATATTTTACAAATTATATGATTATTAATTAATGCTTCGATATTATTTTGTTTAATTCCGCTACCATACGCATGTGTGCGACCACCACATATTCATTGCAGAGGACTGACCACTTCTAAAAACATTACAAACTTTCTTATTAGTAGTTCGCTACTAGTGGTTGTAATTATGTGTTGTGGTACAAATTGAATCAGTAATAAAAATTAAAATCTGTGTTCAGGTCCATTGTCTCTACTGTTCAATGCTCTAGGTTCTGTTGAAAAAATGGCAAAATAATATATTAAAAACAGTATTATGTGAATTTAAAATATGCACAGTTATTATCAAAACGTTAGTTTTTATAGTAATTATTCAATATTAAAAAGTGATATCTTGATTTGATCGTTGTTATTCTCTTGAAATGTTAATGCACCAGTTGAAGATCAAACGAATAAGGCACACGCGTACTGAGTTGGTGTCGGCGCATATGGTTCCGCAACCACATCGCTTGGGATTTGATTGACGTGTTGCGCTTACGTTACACGTATGCGATCAAATTGTCAGGGTTTTTATTTCGGTTTGTTTTGTGAGACAAGCCTTGACCTACATTCGAATAAACTAGTTAGTGTACTCAAATTATGCGTTATAATAATTGTTATTTGATTCAAATTTATCAGTTGGTGCGAAAAATATTTAGTAGTTTTCAAAAATCATTGGACACCTTATCAACCAACTACATAATATTTAAATAATTAAAGTAAATATTTTTTAAATAAAATTTATTTATAAATTATTATAGTAATTATACTGCAAAATAATTTTCTCATATTACATAAGAGTTCTATTTTTTGGACCTAAGAATATGTGTGTATCTAAAATCTGAAAGTACGGATGTACGTACTTTTCATAAGAATCTTATTAAATTTAATGTTTTGGCATCTGATTAATATAAGAATGTTTGTGTGACATTTGTTTCATATTTATTTATTTTGTACGATTATTATTAAACGACATTGTATTTAAAAAAAAATACAACGTAATAGTCGGAATAGGTTTATTGAAGTTTCTGTGTTTTTATAAATGGAATAATGTAGTCATTGCAAATCATCGACTGAATGTGTCATATCAAGTAGTAACAAATATGTTTGTTTCACATTGGTGCGAGTGGGAGATGTCGACAGAAGACAAATCACCGACGATGACTCCACATGTGACGGAAAAAGAACGTAAAGGATGAAGATTTCAGAATGTGCAAACATTAAAATAGAGAATTGAGTTTTATAAATTAACGACTCTGAATTTAAATAAAATTGTTAATGCAATATATATTAAATAGCTGTTAATATTCTGTATTGATTTCCCCCTTGTTTCTTGTGTTCGTTCAAGTAGAGCATTCTGGTAACGGCAGTAAGTCTTACATTGATTGAGCAAATTTAAGTTTGTTAAGTTTGGTAGCATGATGACCTAACAATGACCAACATAACTAACTAATTTTTAGTTACTTTTAATCTAGAATTCCGTAGACTCTCAAAGTTATCTTTTATGAAGTAAATTACGTAACTCTATTCGACTATAGAGTTCTTTAAAATAATAATTTAATATTAGTAGTTGATAAGTTTTTTAACTAAGCTATTTTCATTATATATAAAGGAAAATTTGTATATTTCTGTTAGCCACACCCTGTGTATGTTCCCACTTGGGACGACAATAGCAAGAACATTCTGGGACAGACTCGCTCGCCAGGCCGTGGGAGTCAGGGAAATGCGTTATGAAAAGCGGTATCTAACATTAATAATATCTACACTATCCAAGTCGGCACTGTAATTCAAACTTTATTTAGAATACTGAATATTTTTACCTACTTTGATAAAAAGTAGGTTATTTAAACGTCATTCTGGTATTTTTCTGGAGATGAGTCTATTTTCAAGAATTGTCTTTACAATTTTAAAAATTCCACAGTTTTAAATTTCTTAAAATTATAATATAAGTATTACAGTAATTTTCTTATAGTAGTGATCATGTAAAAGTACATCTTCGCAGTATGTGATTCAGCATATGATTGAAATATTTAATAAAATTCAAACTATAAAACTATTAATACAAACACTAGTTCATTTCATGTCTATGTGCAGAAATTCAATTGGCAATGGCCTTTACTTGCCTGCATATACGCTCATAATTCGCACCAAACGGTAATGAGTCAGCGGTACGCACGTGTGCCAGTTTGTTTACAAAAATGTGTTCTGCAATACCGACGTAAAGATGCGTAACACACATTATACGTATCTTATTAAATTGTTCGTTGTTGGGCATTGTCGATATATTTATTACCAACACCAGACTATACTATTAATTAAAAGTATTTATTATTCGGTAATGCTTATTTTTTTACTACGAACGAATTGTCTGTAATAATAAGTAATACAAAAATATCAACCATCAGTTTTACTTTTATATAGGGTGTAAAGTAGTTACAATCATTAAGTACCGCCACAGAGTATTACATAGTAATTAATCTTGATAATGAACTCAAAATGATCATATTATATTAGTCGAATAAACTCTTGAACAACTGTAAAATGGATAATGCAAACATCTTTATTGAAATAAATAGTGACAAGTAACAAAAAACTTTTATCACTACCTGAGTAATTTGACTGGAGTTATAATGGATTGGAAATCCATGGAGATATTAGAAGTGAGTCGAGGTGGTCTAAAATGAGTTACGTTATTATATGCGCTAACGCGTTGTTTTTATAAAGAACACAAATTATGTTTCACGTTGATGCAATTTTTAAAACAAATTATATATTATGTTTTTGATGTCTGCATCTGTTTACCTAACTTTTAGTTTTATATTGCATAACTCGCGTAAGCGGACAGATGTTTTATTTATTCCCCCTAGTATTTTCAGCTTTATTGCGAGTTTTAAACATTACGTAATACAACCCATCTTTCCCCGCCGCTGGAAGCTGTTTAGTATTTGGTTTATTCATCATATATGCTCATTATTCTACCGTAACATTTTATAACTATATTTTAAATTCTAAAAGCAGTCACAGTAAATTTTAATAGAGACGTTTATCTTAAAATTCATCAAATAAATGTTCCCGCATATCAGTACTTAAAATTAATATGCATATATAAATCAATATGAGTAACCTTTATGGGTTCTCCTCTTCACACAGTTTATACAAAGGTGTAATGTATGATATTTTATAAAATCAAATAAGTTATATTTATTTATTTATTTTATATTAAAATTTGTGAACATTTTGTTGCCTCAGAATGGAACCATTGGAAATTTACTATTTACTAAACCCGTCTATGAGTAAATAAAAATCTTTCACGCTCAATTCATATAATCGTAAAGCCACAGTGGCATTCTCTCCATTTTCATTGCATCAAAGAGCCAAGACTACGCATTTGCGCTCGCGTCCGAACGCAAACACGTTCAAGGACCCAAAACAATCAGTACCTATGTACGGAAACAATCACCGCTTCTCAGGATTGCCTCGCCCTACTCTATTAACTACAATCCGCACCCACCATTTTAAACTTTTATCTATGCAATTCTATTCATCTACTTCCGGTTTACTATACTGATAGATCATAGTATTTATCGGACGTTGAAGTACTTCGGTAAAGCATAATAACAGCTTGAGCATGACATATTAGAAATAATGGCTAAAATTTGTGTAGAAAAACAATAGGCGGATCAAAAATGATGAACTTTCAATTTTTTTTGCATTTCTTAAAGCAACAAAGAGTGAATTTATTATAAAAGAATTGTGGGCCCTGTTAGACATTTGTAACAATGGAGAAAACCATACCAATAGATTGTGCTAAATACTTTAGTATAATTATTGTTATATTTTTATTGAATTCAGTGTACTGGAAAAGTTGATTTTTCACCATTCCAAGTCAAACATTTTTTTTTTAATTAATGTACATATTTAACCAGTGTATCGATCACTTATTGATTGTTTATAAATATGTCTGATAATATTAATAGATTTTCTATGTAACTTCAGTAGGATAAAATAAACATTGTTAATATTAATTTGGATTTTAAATGACTCGTTAGTGATTAAACTGTCAGAGGAAAGCTTATATTAGATTTTGTTTTGCTAGAAAGCCGTTCATCGTGCGGCGGAGGCAGCGGATCAGAGGGCTCGGAGGAGCGAGCATCGTGGCGCGTTACACTGGATCACGATCTGGTGGAGACGCTGAGCGCCATCTACCCGGAGTGGTTCAAACCGCAGCACCGCCGCGAGCGCAGCCGCGCCGCGACGCCTACCTCGCCCGCGTCGCCGCCGCGCACGCCAGCCTCATCTTCGGACGACACCTTCAGGTACATTTATAATAAAAATAACTCTTTATTGCGTACATATACACAAAGAACAATAAGTACAAAACAATGATAAAAAAAACTTTCTCGTTGTCCTATCGCTATTAGCAATCTCTTACGAACAATCTGGTGATAAAAGAGAGTATTTACTTACATATTTACATTTATTAACTTCGCCGCTACATATAGAATTATTAGCACGATATAAGTATTTACTTAATGGTCTATCCAAGAGATTTTCATTTAATGTTAGACAGACATCTATGTAAGTAAATATTGTAAATTAGCTGGTTCATAAAATAAGAAATTCAGTTGAGTTTCTTGCCAGTTCTTCTCAATTGAATCTGTGTATTGGACGTAGGGAAAAATATATTTAAAAAAAAGTTACGTTCATAAGCGGCTAAAATTTACTTTGAAGTCCTTGACTAAATTATTTTTTATTCGATTTGATTTACTGGGAATGATAATAAATGAATAGGTAAGGGATCATTAAAAACCTATTTACTCAATAGTAGTGTTTGATTTGAGTTGATTTGATTTCAACGGTTTGAAATATACAAACATCATGAAAGTAGATTGATGAACCTGTTGGAAAATGCTAAATGGACCTTGAGTTACTAAATAGAACAATTGAGTAATTGTACATGTCAGTTAAATTTGTAATAACAAAAAGAATCTCAGTCTTATAATTATCCCATTTATCTATTTTTTTTATTAGGAATGACACGTACTCTTAAGAACAGTGATATCATAAGGGTGATAGCACTTTTGAAGTTATTTAAAACTGCTATTTCAGTGCTCCTAAGTACGAATTGAATTAATTATGTCTCTAGTATAAGCAATAAAGTCGTATGTATTGTAATAATACGCATAATCCTGTGCAAAAACTAATAAGGTGATACGTGGTCACTAACCAGTCGAGTCACAAAAGTGTAGATAACATTTAGTGAACTTAATATTGATATATATTTAGTTCTGGTGCGGAGGAGATGGCTGGGCGTCAGGCGAGCGGCAGCGGTGCCAGCGAGCCACCCAGCTCGCCGAGGGTGTCGCCACCGAAGGTGGTCGTCGACGACAGCCCTCTACAACCAGCCATGGGCAAACACAAAGAATGTAAGGATATCTTTCATTTCTTAATTTAAATGTTCAAATTTAACCGTCCGAATTACTAAAGCCCTACTAAATGGCAGTACCTACTTGACTATCTTTCCAAAAGTATAAACAAACATAGGTATAGAGATATGATTTCATTAATTATTTCTAAATATGTTTGTTACCCGAGACTTCACATTGGTAATCTGCACGTAATACAAATAAAATTGGAGTGTCTATTTGTAATATTGAAATAACCGTTTTTTATTACATGCCTTTGAATATAAATACGGTATATACACCACAATAACATTTTTTACAATTTTTGTCTCTCTTCCTATTTTGACGGGACTTTTTTTGGCAGGTAGCTGATGTAATAAGGAGTAACTTAGGTAGTAGTTAGAGTAACTTACTTTTATTTTACAAAAAATCTTTTATGTGAGAAAGTTAAAGTTAAATTCCACGCGGACGAAGTCGTGGGAACAGCTAGTTAATCAATATAAGAAAATGTTATTGTGTAGGTATTTACCTATTATACTACAAATATAATAATAGTATACTAAACGTTTTGTCGCGGTGACCCTGTAACAGTTAGAAGAAAAACGTGTTACATGATGTGGCACTCTTCGTGTCGCTCAACTCTCAAATAGAAAAATATGCCATTAATTTGAAATGAGGACAGAGTTTCTTCATTTCTCAGAAAATATAATTGCAAAGTACTAATAATTATTTTCATACAGACACCTAAATAAACGAGTAGTCCGTTACCAATCAGAATCACACTTCCAATTATAACTTATATAAACTGATTCTAATAAATTATGCATGAGTTTCATGTGAACTAGAGCAGTTTTAGTGAATCATTAGGAACAGAGATAATGATCTGGAAAATGACTCGCTTTTTTTTTGACCGAAAATTCCACAACTCTCACTACGCATGAGAATAAAAATTCAGTCATATTAGCTGCTAGTTCTCAGTTTGTTTTAGGCATTGTGTTCACATGTTAACATTTAGTTTTAGCATTAGAATGCTAGCGGAGTCCGATCTTCCGGTGTTGCGCCGGCTGTCTGCGCACGCGCATTGCTCATAAACAAGTTCTTAGCCCTTGTCAGCACGCCTCCATACTCCATCAATCAACAATGTGCACGAAATAGGTTTTTATTTTTGTTTTCAATTGCCTAATTCATGGACATAATGCAGTAGAATTTTCCGCTGTGGTTTGTAGTCTCTACTTGATGTATTTTAATATTGCATGATACTATGATGATTATACTCAGTCTTCACTGACTAGTCATTATGTATATATATATTATATATTGGATTATTCCAATATAGAACAGTTAATAAATGTTGATGTAAATTGGAAACTTGTTTAACCATATTCTTAGCAGAAGGGTTTTGTTAGTAAAGTAATCGTTAATGTATACGTATGCAACACTGATAATTTATATACGTATTTCTACATGCTTACTGTAGGTAGAAATGTTCTAGTGCGAAATTCGAGTGACCGAAAACGCCCAGTAACCCACAATATTCGGCCCAGTGGTAGTGAATGTTTCGTCTGTAATACGGTCGCGGCATAACACTAGTTTCCTTGTGCAGTGTTTATTTATGTTGGCTTCAGGCCAGCGTTGTCCGTCCGTCGCTCGCTGTTCCCCGCTTGTCTACACGCAAATAAGAATATAGAGCTATTCGCCTACGCTACAAATCTATCGATATATAATCGCATATTGATCGACATATCGATCACGTCGGCCCCTATTTTATTCGATATTGTGCGTCAAAGTTCGTCACCTGGCGTCATAACATCGTGTCTTTCAATGTTGTACCAACTATTCAATCAGTACATTGTTCACGCAAAAGGCACTCTACAATGCAGTTCATGGAACTTTGTATGTCAATGAGCTGGAATATATTGATGGCTAATAAAAATCATGGGTCCTCATTTAATCTTTCTTCTTTTGCTTGGCGTTCCATGCCTTCTTCTTTTGTAAATCTCCGCCAGTACGGTATGTCCTGGGTCTTCTGGGGTGTTGAGTTGGGTATGGGTTCTTATTTAATGATGTATAATATTAAAAAGAGGAAGGATTTCTATGTTTGTTTGTATTGAAGATGCTCCGAATCCACTGAAATGGTTTGAAAAATGTTTTCACCATTATTCCTGCTGAACGAAGCGATAGAATATTTTCAATACATCAACACAATTTATACAAATAAAATTTCTATAATCTTTAACGTGCATAACTATTTCTTCCCCTTAAAACTTTCATAACTATCTACTAGTCAATCAATTAAAATTTTCCTGCAAAGATTTTTTTTTAAATGTAGTGATTAAGAAAACATTTTATTAATGTTATGTTGTTATTAGAATGGCAAACAAACTAATGACTTCATGGTAAGTGGTAACCGTTACATGAACATCGTTATCATGTGACGCCCGTTACTCATAAGTTGCCATTCCGTAGGACTAAGATAATGCATCTAATCCTGTAATGTTAATGCCTTATCTACCTCGGGAATACCCTAACCGAAATACAACTTGCAAGCTGCTCTGCAGTAGAAATAAGTAGACAGAGGTATCCACGCAGACGACTTTTTACAAAGTCTACTTCGGAGTATTTAATGTCATTAAGTACAGTAAAGTAATATAATCTGAATTAAACGAAACAATAATTTTCAAAGAAACGATACTACTACAATTATTTCTTCTGTGGCAGCAATGCGTCACAGTCTAGCTAATTGTAATGTTAGCGAGTTTTATAATAATATATATTTAATGTAAATTGTTTAATATTTTTACAGCCTTGAAAGTAAAACTGATGATGCGGCGACCCATCACACAATTAGTGGCACAAGGGATTATGCCTCGTAAGTATAATACTAATTAGTAGTTGCTTCTAAACATTGCGAGGTAATTAGCGTGAGACAAATATGTGTCTCTGAGTTGCGGGGCGGCGCCGCATCCCGCCGTCGCTGTTGTCGAATGTCGCGACGCGCGTGGGTGAAAGAATTTTATTTACGATTCGAATGTTACGCTATACTAATGAGTATTTTTCAACCGAACGTATGAAACAATATCGACTATAGATATCACAAAATTTCTTGTTATGTCAATTTTATTTTTTTGATTCGCTTTAGTAGATATTTAGGATTAGATTAGGTTACTGATGTTTAGGATACTGGAACGTTGATCAGATATTTCAGATTAAGTCATGTGGTGACTCAGATTAACCATCTTGATGTACCGACCACCCAGTGTTCATACACTTGCAGACACAACGTATTATTATTATTATTATTATTATTAGTATTGGTCTAATGAATAATATAGCCAGTAATTTTATTGCAAAATGTTTTTTTCTGATCTAAGCACAGTGAAAAGTATTCTAACAAACACAACAATATCCTAGTGCAAATAGTGACAAATCCTTTAGGCAGCGCCATTTATATAATCACATGTACAATTAAAAATGTTTTTGCCATTTCAGCACTAAAGACACCCGCAGCGTACTTTGAACAATGCAAACAGCTAGAAAGAGCAAAAACTGGGGACCTACTCAAAGCTAAGATTCAAAGACGTCCCGATCGCCAAGAACTTGAACGAAGACATATTTTGGAACAAGTATGTTTTGAATTCAGTGTAGTGCAGTTGAAAGATGTACTTATCTCAATTCTTGAACTACAACTTATCATTACAATTTCAATTTCAGGAAAGCCATGTGGATCCAAGTTTAGCAGAGAAGCAACGAATGTTAAAGAAAGCACGCCTTGCAGACCAGTTGAATGATCAGTTATCTCACCGCCCTGGGCCCCTTGAACTCATTAAGAAAAATATACTCCATACAGAAGAAAATATCGAAACCGCAGTCAAAAGTGGTATTCTTGCATTCAAGGCTACTAGCGAAGGTGCTTCTGGACGACCACAGCATCCATCGTCATACTGTGGCCCGCCTGACGAGGTGTCACCTTCACCTTCACCGCCATCAACTCTCTCTCCTGTTAGCGTTGCTTCATCACCTCAACATCCTGCACCCGGAAAAGATAAAAATCGCAAAAAAAATAAACAAAAACAACAACCTAAGGCGCGCTTTAAATTTCATGAATATAAAGGACCTCCAAATGCTCAAAAGTCCTCGTCGCCACCCGGGTCCGTCGAGACTCCCTATGAGCTTCTCTTACAACAGCAACAATTACTTCTTCAACTGATGCCTGCCTCGCCAGCTGCATCTATTACATCAGATTCGTCGGATGCTTATACAGTGCCTCCTCCGCCGCCACCGCCTCCTGCGCCTATCGCTCCTATAATGCCTATCGCGCGTTTCGAAGACATGAAAGTATCCGATCTTCGAGCTGAATGCAAACGTCGTAATTTACCTGTATCTGGACCTAAACTACAATTGATACTTAGGCTGCGACCTTACCTAGAAAAACAAGAAGATCCACCGCGTTCACCTGCATCTGTTACCTCTATTGCTTCTATCGCATCTGTTACATCACCTGACATCAAAATAGAATCAGATAGCTCTGAGGATATAGTTCAATCGCAAAGACGGCAAATCGAGGATCTTGAGCGAAAACTAGAAGCCTCGCGGCAGCAGATGGAGGCAGTCCGGCGGGAAGCGGCAGGCGCTGCAGCTAGCGACCAAAGTCGACGGCTTTTACAAGCACACATTTATATGTCGCAACTACGAGCGCAGCGCGATGCTCTACAACAGCCTCAGGTGCCAGCACCCACACCATCACGGTACGTTATCGCAGCATCTTCCGACGCTACACCGGATCGTCTTGTTAGTCTTTTTACAGTGGCCTCCTCACCTGCTGCCGCTGGAGACGGATCAACCGATGCCGTACCACAGAAGACGGCCAACCCTGCTTACATACTGACCAATGGCGTAAAGGTGGTACCCATTGCAATTTTACCAACTACTCACTACGAGCCAGAACGTACAGTTTCTGTACCACCGCCCCCTCCTCCGCCACCCCCGCCCCCTTTGCCACAAGTATCTATGAATACACCAATACATGATTGCACAGAAGACAGTCAAATAATGGACGATGTCCTCGAAATTTTAGTAGAGAATGGTGAATTGCCGGCTTCAGCTGTTGATGACGCTACGACACCTCGTCAAGTTGACAGTGGGTACATTACAGGCCCTGATACGTTCTCCCCAACTGACGTACTAACTAACGACGTTCTTGACGACACACATGTTCGGGACTCGCTTGCGGCCGAGGAATTACAAAGAGAGCTCGACGATATTCAGAATGAAATACTTTGCCATGCTGATTTACATGCAATAAACAATATCAGTCACTGTGATATGGTACCAACTGCGGCTGACATAGAACCGGATTTGAGCGTCGAATTATTGTCCAACAGCGATTTTCATACAGGGTTTGGTGTGACAGATTCGTCAGTAAGCGATCATGATTTCCTCGGTAGTCTGCTGTCGGGAGAAAGTAATGACCGAACTGAGGATAAATCTCATATGGCGATGGATATCGGGGAGGAACCTTCAGAGAGAATGAGTATGACACCTTTGACCAACGGGGATATACTCGACTATTCCAGAACGAGTTTCGAGTATATGGACGATTTATCGTTACCATCTTTTCATAATGAAGACAGTCGTAACGGAATGTTCGAGGAGCGTTCCTGCGAGTTTGACCTGAAAGAACTGGAGGAGTCAAGGTCGAACATGAACGTTGACGGCGACGGGTACGAGTACATGAGCACGGAATTGATCCCAAACCTGTTCGGACGTGGCCCGGTGGCGCAATGTGACCCACTGCTAGGCGGATTAGCAGCTAGACCACCGCCGCGTCCACAGCACAAGCATTACTCCTGGGACCGGATAGAGTATGACGCCACTTGACCCACGGTCCCTACAGCTCTTCCAGGGCGTCGTTCTGTAATGATGCTTACCCTATGATCTCTGAAATATCTATTTATCCTTGTACCGAGTATGTGAGTTCGTATTAAATGAGTTCAGACGCTACTAAGAGTTCATACGTCCCGAATTCGAGGGATATGTCCATGTTGGTGCAAAGAATTTAAGACAGTATATTTTTTTGTCGTCGACAGCTACTCAGTGGCTGTTCGATTAATATGCTAGTCTCTTCTGTGACTCGTTCTTCCAGGGTGGTGACTTACGTGTTGTACTCTAAGAACAAGTATAATTTATTATGATGTGAAACACAAAGTGTTGGCATTAACTGAGAACTTGTTAGTCTACATAATTATTCAGTACTTAATAGTCGGTACGAAATATTTGTGTCGCTAGTTGATAAATAGTTATATAATCATATAGTTAGTGAGTGTTAATATGCGTCGCCACACGTGTACGCAGTGACATACCTACTTGGCTCACATAATATAAATCCATTTTATTTACTATTTATAAGCATATCTACTTATGTATATATTGAAAGTAATAATACTCAACATAGTTGTGGATTTCTGCATTCCGCCCGATGACTTATAACCTAGGGAAAATTATAATAAGAAAACATTTGTTGGGGCACAAATTTCAATCTATGAGACACCTGGTAACGTACACATTGTGTTAATGATAATGCTAATAAAATGTATAGAATTGATGTTGTGTCAGTTACTAAAAACTGTTCAAATGCTATCACTGTTGCATGATAGCAATTTCCCAAATCAATAAGTGACATTCCAGTCTTGTTGAAGTGCAAAGTTAGCACAGAAGCATGCATTGCTCTCCTTAACGAATGAATTTCAGTAATTGCGTATTTGACACAGTGTATATTTGTTCTATTATATGGAGATAGTAAAGTTAAAAAAACAGAGAGCGAGATGCACATTCACAAGCCATCGTCATGGGTGGGACCAGCTTGGGAACAATGTTAGATACAAATTCATTTAGGTAATGTAGGGAGCCCGCTCCTTGCTAACAAACAATTGTGCAAACAGTCTTTTATTTTCACTAGTTATTTGTTCACTTTCCTTCCTTTTTAAAGGCCTTATATTATAGTAATTAGCACGAGCGAAATAGATAATTTGATTTAATTTATTGAATGTTTGCTTTACCTAGATAAATTATTATAAATATTGTTGTAATAACATAACATTCTTGAAAATGTATCATTCCAATTTATTATCTAAAGTGTAGGATAGGTGCACTATTATCAATAAGTTCTTGATTTTGTTACCCTAGGTTCATACTTTTATATTCTGTCGTTAGATTCTATGAGATTGCTTGCATAATTGTTTGAGAGCATTATTTATAATTTATTTATTTATATTATTACTTCAAGTGTGCTTACAATTTATTGTTGAGCTTTTCATTACTATGTGTGAGTGTTTTCACTAATGAGTTAATGAGTTTACGTTTGTGTTAGATTTATCATGGATAGGTTTATCAAAAACCAAAATATATAAATCGGTAACATTTTGCCATTATTTGCATTTATAAATTATTTTAAATAATTTGACAAGTTACTACAACGAATATATGGCGTTATCGCCCTAACGTGCCAATTTAATCCATCTTATTATTTGTAACATAAAACAATAAATATGTACTTTTCCATGAACCATGGCATTCATCCTATACTACAGCAATAAAAATCTTTCATAGTATAAACATTCAGTTTACATATTAGTAAAAATAATGTTGGTGGTTGAATATGTGGTTACTTTAGATATCTAAATTATAGCCACATATAGATGGTGCTATTTGTATAAGTTGAAATATATGAGCAAAATTTAAAGGTTATACATAGTATTCTCACATTATTTAGTGTGAAATGTTGTGTGAAGAAAGTAGTAATATTAATTAACAATTATCAGTAAATCAATTACTTATTACCTATGTGGTTCCTATATAATAATGCCAATACGTAAACTTACCACATACGGTTAATATAGTTATCGTAATTTTGTCTGCTTCTAAACAAAATTGAACTTCTCATCTTAATTCTTAGTAATCTGATTTTATAATTCCATTAATAATTAAAATTTAACGAAACTTACTAGTTTTAAATATTTATAAAATCTATTTGCTCATTGTCGAAATTTTAGCCAGCCATTAGGCAAAAATACATTTAATGATGGGAGTGATTTTTCATATTGCAAAAGAAGGTAGCTGTCAAATGTAACTGTAATAACCAAATGGCGCTATTTCGTTTACGTAAAATTAATAGTAATATAATTTGCATACAGTGCAAAATTATAACTATATTTTTATAATATAAAAATTTCGGTGAAGATCTACACCCTATCGTGCAGATGTAGCTCTCCGAAATCTAGTGTTGCACTTGCATGACAGTACACTGTAGAAAACAAAAATTAAATTATTATTGAAACAAAAGAAGCTCACTCCCATGATTCATAGGCCTAGTACATTTAACTATATATATAGCTTGGTATTTACATGTTTTTAGAGTTTAGTTTAAATATATTTAATGAGATACTAAGTGAGATTAATGTTTTGATAAATAGTGTAAAATCTGCATATTTGTTATTGTTGTAATTATTTTAGGAGAGTTTTTAATATTTGTTTCTATTAGGTTAAATTCCAAGTCTGCAAGTGACAGATTGTGCTGTATTATATAATATTTACCTAATAAATATAGCTCTCTGCAAATTCTGTGTATGTAATATGTATTAACACTACATTGTAGTAATTGGCTTCGCTGTAACATGGATATTTTTATTAACGGCATATTGTATTCAAGTATATGTATAAACATATATTTTAACATTCAGAAGTGTTACGATTAGGACCATAAGCAATATTTAAGGCTTAAAGCCTGGTAGAGGAGCCAAGTATACAATAATAGGTAATAATTATAATGTGATAACCACAAGAGTCGAATATGTAGAGTAACTGGATAGTTTTTTTACCTTTCCCTATAATGAAGCCTTGTAAATATGGATGAAGCCTTTACTAGCATAAGGAAAGAATGTTGAATTAAATTTTTTTTGACACAAGACTTGTTTCATTTCTTGTTACTTAGCTTACAAATAAGTAGCCCTCTAGAACAAATAAGAATTTACTCATGTAATTAACAGAATAAATTTTCTAATCTCCAATAGCTCTATGGCAGTAAATTAAACAGTCATTTTACAATTATTAATATTATTATATAGGCAGAAGTAGAGCTAAAGCAAAGGCAATAAGCTTCTGTAAAATTACCAAGAATGGTAGTTTCATTGCATATCTTAATAGTTTTACATGATTTTGTTTAATTTTGCTACCATAGAAAGTGAAAAAAAAAGCAGCCCAAAATATTACTGATTCGCTTTTTATAGGTTAAAATAGTATAGATAGTTTTCATTACATTTTTTAATCTCTTACGCTTAAAATAAAAAAACCTATATATAGACACCCCCTGCAGAGATTGACATATTGATATAAATTTAATTTTAAACATTAAACAACATAATTTATTTCTCGATGAATGGTGTCCACTATAGTTCCCGGATTACTCGTGTAAACTCTAATCGTGAGAACTTAGTGGCTTCCCGAAGCAAATCAATTGTGTTCCTATTGGAACAACAAATGCTATGAGAACGATGGATGAGCCCGCAGATTCAGCAAAAAGGAATCTGTAAACACTCGTTGATAATTCTTACTATTGACATTTGTCGCCTGGCCCCAAACATTTTGGAAAAATGGTGCAGTTACGTCAATCTTGGGGCAATGCAAAGGTTCCATAGTGTAGTAAAAAGCACCGATAAAATAGTATCTATGAAGTATGAAGTCATGGACTGGAGTTATACAGTCGACTACAAAGAATTGAGTAGTACCTATACCTTTGACTTATATTCTTTGCAATGGAATTATGCTTAACTATGAATGCAACTATGGTTTGCTACATAACTGTACGTCAGTAGTGAAATTTGAACCGTCATCCATAATTTTGTCAATTGCCACAGTCTGACGGCAAGTTGACAGTTATAAATTCAGACTTGTCACAATTCCACTCTGTTTCTGTCTCTGCTGCATAAATTTAATTTTGAATTTGGAATTCTATTAAAAAAATACTATTATATTAGGTAATATAGTACTATACTGTAATAATTATTCATCTTAATTTTTCTTATAGTCAGAATTGTATAATTATACGTACAATCAAGCTAAAAAATAGTTATGATATTAGCTGAAACATTGCTATTTTCTCTGTCTCTAATCGATAGCGGTGCTATATTATTTCTTTTAGTATACTACGTAATAACATTGTCAGATTTGGAATGCGACTATTTGAATGCTCAAGAGTGTTGTGAGAAGTTGAACTATTGGTTGCTTCCAAAATATATCGCTCATTCTTTTGTATCATTCATACTACTATTACATGGGCAACTTATCCTTTTTATACTTAACTTGCCTATGTTTATATGGTTGACATTTGAATACTTTACCATACCACGGGGTAATCTCGGCGCATACGATCCGGCTGAAATCCACAATCGTGGCCAGTTAAAGAAGCACATGCGTGATGTTATGATATACATTGGACATTACCTTATATTTTTCTTCATCTATTTATACTGTTTTATACTAGCTCTGCTTAAAGGAGATCCTATACAGCGATCTGCGGATGATCAAATTGTGACTGAAATCTAAAGACATGGCAGAACAACAACCCCACAGTGCAGTTGATGAAGAGAATGTAAACAGCAGTGACAGTGAAACTCCTCCTGAAAACTCGCGCAGGTGTGTACAGTTACAACTGCCAGACCACACGGCGGCATATTATGATCGCACAGAACTAACAAGGGCCACGGAGCCAATAACATGTGATAGTAATTTAGTAGAAAATGTGTGCAGTAACTATATAATAGTTAAGAACATACTTAGTCATTTACCATGGCAAGAAAAGTTGCTGTGCAAACATGTATGTTCCACTTGGAATTCTGCTATACATGCCCTAAAAAAGGAACAATTGAATCCTGCAGATTTTGTGATAGATCTACAATTAAGTGCCATAAAAAATGGCATTAAATTTATCAAGTCATCCAATTTTCCAACAGAGCCTTTAGTGGTTTTCACATTTTTAAACACAGCAGCTATGGAGTTCACTTCTAAATGCATGTCATTGTTACCTCACCCATGTAACCCGCCTTGTGAGAAGGAACACAGTAGTGAGTATTGGTTTATATGACATTAAGCTTATAATAAAATTTGTATTTTACAAGATTGTGTTATTTTTAACACAATTATTTTTTACTGTTATCTCAAATAAGAATTTGTTATTGCTTCTGCTGTCAAACTACATGCAAGTCTGTTCAACCATTTAAATTATGCTATTTATTTCAAACTTACAATTTTGATAAGTAATACATTTTTTTATGGATGATAATGGAATATTGTTATATTGGTAATGCCATACACAATTGGGTCACCAGTGGAAGATGAAGTTGTTTATCTTGCCATTTTGATTTTAACAGGAATTAACCATGGCAGTTACCACAGGTGGAAGGGGAGCCTGCTACAAATCCCAGTCTCCTGATTATAATTGTATTAATTGAAATATAGTTAATTATAACCAAATTTATACTTATAAATATACACATATATTCTCAAAGTATATCCCTGTACTGACAGATCTAGTTACAATCTTTACAAATCAGTAAAACATATAACACTAGAAAGCAATAAACTTTCTAAGGGTCGCTATAAGTAGCAATTTAGTGGTGGGCAGTGTCTATTCTCTTTTCTTTTCTCTCCTGTATCTGTTACATGATATTATAATGTTTTTACTAGTTTATATTATTTTGTATTGGATATAGCTTGAAAACCTAGTGTTGACTGTTTAGCATTGAGACGCAGTTTAGTCACTGAACAGTCAACACTAAGATTCCATGTTATACCCAAACTATTCAATGCCTGATGATGCCTCATTCAGAGCTGAATCATGTATCGCAATATAGATGTAGATTGGTTGGAATTTGATTACCATTAGAGAAGTTCATAACGGTAGTCAAGATTCTGCATTGAATATTTGTGATCTTACACATGCTAATTGTAGCAGAATTATACTAAGTAATATAAATCCATTAAATAGTAAAATGGAGTACCACTAAATAACATCAACTTTGATTAAATATATATAATATTGTTTTTTTACAGTGTTAGACTGGGTGCAACAAGAGGTTTGTGCTCCAAAGAACTGCATGCTAATTGTGCGAGCTAGTCACCTCTCATACTTGCCTCTCTTGAAGTCACCAACATTTGGGAAGTCAATTACCTATGACCTTATGTTCAGGGGATTATATCCCACCATCAGTGGACTTTATATTCCCACAATACCAGATGTTAAATACCAAGTAATTAATATCAAATCCAACAGCGATTTGGAAAAAGCTTTCTATTATGAGGTCAGAGAGGAATCAAAAGATAATATTTTCAAAGGTGTTATTGTGTATGTCACAGAAAAGTACCTTTTGCATTCTGTTGAAGATTTTCATTATTTAAATTATTTTAGGGAGGTGTAAGTATTAATACACATAATAATATAGTGTAAATAAGATATAATAAGCAACAACACTATTTATTTATCTAAATGATTGACCTAGGATGACAATTAGTGTACTATTAGCATACTGTCTTACCAGACTGTATGGTTTTGCTAAAAGTTTTGCTGCACTTTTTATTTATTTATTTTCGGAAAACCAAGGCTATTTACAAACGTAGTTATAAACATAATTAAATGAGAACGGCCACTTATAGGTTTTCACGGATAGAACTTACACCTATATATTTTTCCTTTATTACCTCTGTTGTTCCCTACATATTTAGTATGAAGTAATCTTGACAAATTTGTAATGTAATGTTAAGAGTAAATATAGGCTTTTATTATAATCTTGACAAATTTAATTCTTACTCTGACACTACAGAGATCTTTTATGAGTAGTGATTATAATAAATTTTGATGTCTGAAAATATTGGTTGTTTGCTTTCGTAAATTTCTATATTATTACATTATTTATTGATTATTACGAATTCAGTATATTAAATAACTTATACTTTGTTGTTTCAGCCAACCTGATATACCTTATGCATTGGGTGGATGCATTGTAGAGGATTCCATATATGATAAAAATGATATTAAACTAAATATAGATTGCGTGAATACTGGGGATTATTTTGTTAGTGAGAATTTAATTTCTATTGGAATTTTCTCTGTCCCGAAGAGTATCATTAATACTGAAGGAGAAAAGTGCAGCTTTGATATGTATTCACTTGTTATAGAATCAACTGACTGGCACAAGACGAAAATACAAAAAGTCATAAATGAGGTATGGAAATTCTAATACTTTATTTGATAATCTATTTCATTAATATTTGTTTATTACATCTGTATATCTTATAAATGTGAAAATAATAGAGGAACATGTACTGTTTGTGATGAAATTATTATATAAATGAAGTACTAAAGGTACTTAGTTCCAGCATTCCTGAGGAGCATACAATATTAAAAGGGTCACCCATCCAAAGAGACAACAGTTTTTGTCTAATGTTGGGTTCATTATTTAAGAGACTAAGCAAAGTGAATAGAAATAATCTTTATTGATAAACTTAATATATGCATTTTTGAATAGTCATATTTAACGATTTAACCGTTCATTCGGAACGCTGTATCATCACAAAATGAAGTTAGAAACCTGCATGTTGCTCTTTTAAATAAATGTTATTAATAATTTCATTTTTAATTTTGTGTGAATACTCTAGTAATAAATAGTTACTAGAGTAACAAAAAAAGTCATAAGTATTTATCAGCAGATCAGTCTCTACAAGCACCCCCTTCGCGAGTATAACGAAGTAATGTTTGAATAAATAATTTTCTATTCATATGGAAACCATTTTTAAGTTATTACAATTTGCTTTTTTTACCTTTATATTTTTTAGGTTTCTGACAATTTTTAATATGTACTCGTTTTCTTACCAATTAATTAATTTTGCACAAAGATATAATTTATATATTGTGAATGACTTTATGATTCTTGTAAATTTCAGTTCGCAAATAGAGTTCCTCAGTTTGAACACAGTGTGGTGCTGAAATTATCGTGTGTCGGCCGCGATAAGAGACATGAGATGGAGCAGAGTTATTTCCGCGCCGCTTTTCCCAACACTCCGCTCATCGGTTGTTATGGCAACGGAGAAATTGGGATCAATCATCCGGCTCGGCTAGTTGTCGAAGAACCACCAAGTAGAAAAAGACAACGACGGGACCCTGCACCTCAGTTAGGCATTGTATACTCATATTCAACAGTTTTTGTTTACATTGGGTGGGGTAAAATAACTTCATCTTAAAGACATTTTGTATTAATGTTATTATATGTATAGTATTAAATAAAAATTATACGAAATAAGTGGAGGCTATATTATGAGAACTGTCTGAACTGAACTTGAATGGAATTTGGAATGGAGAGTGAAGAATGCTGCTGAGTTGTGAGTGTAAAATTGCATGTGTTGTTTCATATTAAAGGAGAAATATTTGTTTTGGTGTTAATAAAATCTAACACATCGAACCGTGCCATTCGATGGAAAATAAAACCTACCAACAGTGTCACAATGTCTTAGTTTTGTTATAATGTCTGTTTCTTACACCAAAATATCTATGCTATTGAAAATAACTGTTAGAAAAGTATGTAAAGATGATTTAGAATATAATTAGGTATATAATCAATATAATAACCAGTTGTTATTTTTATTCTAGATTAAGGTGTTGTAATTCTATTAATTGCTTATTACTATAGGTAATGCGACCCTAGACTTATAAAATATACTTAATTTTGACAAGTACGATTTTAGACAGAGACTGGTCGCAGTGGACGCTTTTTGTTCTCGAGTAGATTTTTTAAATGTTAACTCTGTTTGGATGTACACAGGGATGTATTCATCCATCTATGTAACATTTTTTTGAGTGTTTTTTATTTATTTGTTTTCCTGTGCCTCTGTGTCTGTTTCCTGTCCCTCTGGAGACAATTTTAATTAAGTAATAATTTTAAGAATTAATATATTTGAAGATTTTTACATTCGGGAATTTAAAGATTAATTTTGTTTTAACTGGTACATATTAACTTATTTTGAGTGTTAGCATGTGAGTAAACTACGCTACATATAAATGGACTTATTTGGAATATGCGTAGGCAAGTAGTTACCTTTATTCGTTTTACTATATATTATAGAACTACTTTTATAAACAATATACATTAATAATTTATTCAGATCTGATTAATGCAGATAATCAAAGGTGGATGTATTTCGTCTGTGCGTACCCACAAAGTAATCGTTTTTCGATCATGATATATTTTATCATTTATCATCATGCAAAAACGATTACTTTGAAGTCACATTTGAAGTAAATTCGATCGCTACAGTCTTTACAAGGCTTTATCCACGTTTGTAAATCTGTCTTACGATTATGTTTTATGTATTCTAAATGACTAGTCGATTATAAGCAATGTGAACAATCAATATATGATTTAAATATTTTTGTGTTTGTTATTTTGGCCAACATTTTTTTAGATATAAAAGAAATACCAATATTTCTCAAAAAAAATCCATTTCATTAGTTCGTATTTTGGAAAATGATTAGTGTAACTGTTATTTTAGTTTATTGTTTCATGTATATATCACCTAATATTATTAGCGAGTAACATGCCGCGGAATACTAGTTATATATAATATTTTTTAAAACAAGGTATGGGTGGAGTGAGTTCATGTGAATTATTAAAGACTAATCCCCGTAACGTGGGGTTGCTGCTCCTCAACCCTTCCTCGGAATTGCAGCTGACGTTCCCTATGGTACATAATAGAACTAGTTTAACCATCCGTCATAGGGCGGCAGCAGCAACGATACACTAAGACTACTCATTTCTTCTTTCAGTTATGTAGTTTTCACTTCTTAGAGCATTTTAACTGAGCTGGTCTGTATAGTCAATATGGTGGTTTTATTTCAGTTATAAAATCAGTAGGTAGTTAGAACTATTATGGTCAAATATATCTGTACAGTTTATATCATAACTAGTTGACCCAGCAAACGTTGTTTTGGTATATAAATTAAAATCGTTATTAGAAAATAGGGGTGGTGATAGAAGGGTGGGAATTCAGGGCTGTATGTATTTTTAATGCCACGTTATAAAAAATATATATTTTTGCCGAAAATATAAAAAATGTTAGGGGTGGAAAACCTTTATCACTAAGGGGTATGAAAAATTGATAGTAGACGATTCTTAGACTTACTGAATACGCATATAAAATGTCATAAAAATCGATCAAGCAGTTTCGAAGGAGTATGGTAACTAACATTGTGACACGAGAATTTTTTATATAAGATTATAATTAGATTTAAATATTACTCTTCATATGTGTACTTCAAGTTTATAAGCATAAATCATATTAAATAAAAATATATTGTGATGGTTATCTCACTCAAACTAGATGGCGTTGTAGTCACTGATATCAGACTTAGCGGGGCACGCAGACGAACGGTTGCCGTTGACGGCAATACATTTTAAAAGTTCATAGAAGTAGGTGGGAGGAAATGATCACCAGAATCTATTGTTGGGTCACGGGCCATATGTATATTAAAATATAATTAATTTTATCTTTTAACTAGGTGTGCCTACCTCAGGAAATGTTTAAGGGGGTATCGGTATGCAATATCTACTTTTTTATTTCAGGCCGCAGATCTCTTTTCGGTTTCACCGGACGATAAGGGCGAGTGCAGATGGTACGTTGAAGTACTGATGGAGCGGAGCAGTTGAAGGTGAACACCTGTCTGACGGATACGACTAGTATGAGGCCACCGCTTGGGGTGCGAACCTTGGCTCAAGTCGTGGCATTACAGGAGCAATGAGTATGAGATAAATAGCAACACACAAGCGATATCACGTGATGTAACCTTGCTTGCTATTCCCATTACATAAAAAAAAACTTGTTTAGTAGATCAGTTGGAGTAGGCAATATCAGTCAACATGTATCTACGAATATTTGTAATTGTTTAAAGTAAATACTACCTATAATCATGGATTTGAAGAATGAATTCTTATGGTTATTATTAGCATTAATGGATTAAATTATCCTCTATGTTCGTTCGCAGGCCATCGGTCACGTTGTTTCATATACGTGACGTAACGGCGGCATTCGTAAAGAATAATTGCTTTTGTAATGTGTAATTTACGGAGTATGTTTAGTACCAATAGGTAATAATTATGTCTAGGTACAGTTTTCTATTGCACCGAGTAGATAGATATAAAATTTACCTGGCCAGTTATATGTTTATCTTCAACCGATAAAGAAAAGAGTAGAGGAGAATTGGTCGAAATTTCGTATCTAGATTTCGTCGTATTATTTATATTGTTAACAATAAATTATTTAATGGGAAATAAAGGCCTTTACCTTTAATTATACGTGTTAAGACACAGTTAACAATGTAGATAATGTGAATATGAAAGTTTAATAATAACTATTAGGTAGATTTCGTCATATTTTAATGTCTAACATTGGTTCTTAGGTATATAAAATCGATTTATCAATGCAACATTAATTTACTCATAACTATGAAAGAATATGTACAATTAGCTATTTACATGTATCGGAAATTCAGGTGGAAGAGGTTGTTAGTAGATACCTAATGGGTTCGTGTAGACCTATCAGGTTAGTCTTAAAACCATTGTTATTACTGGTCAATACCCCATTCGGTACAACAAAAACATGTCACATACATTTTTTTCTATAAAAGCAAATGGACAAGTGCCCGTTCAACAAAGAAAACATTTATAAAGGTGTAGTGAGATATCACGTGTAATAAATTTTTTGTTCCTAAACTCGTAGCGACGCTTCTTCTTCAGTCTCTTGGAATTTTGCATGAAGGCTTTGTTTGACAAAAGTGGAAAGGATGTGTCAGCGGTGTAGACTGTATGTCTATACAAAGAAGAATGATAAAGCATATACCTACTGTCGCTAGGGGGAGGAAGGTGATTAAAAACTGGCTAAAAGCGTTACGTGATAATGGACGACCCCTTTGTTACGTCTCTATCACACTAAACCGGGATGACTGCGAATCACGAATGCTAATCATAGATACCAAATTACATTCTCTTTAGTTTGATTCTAGATGCGCTCAAGGCAATGATCTAACGAGAAAATAATAGTCAAATAAAATTAAGTTGTACGTATTATTTGTACGTACATGCAACATATCCAGTTAATACAGGTGGTCAACATAATTACAAGCATCGTTACATGAATAACGATCGCATTGACCGTTAAGAAGGAACTATGCATACTGTAACTCACGTACCTACCGAACCATTTATTGTTGCTAAGGTATATTTCGAAGTAGTAAATATTAATTTACGCATTGGTCCATTTGTTTGCATTTTTTTCTTTTCTCGTCCTGACGAAGTAAACTAAGATAGATAACTGTCATATCGTTACTGGTAACCGCTAGCTTATGATATGAAAATAAATGAAGCAAGAGAAATGTAGCACAATTTATTTTACTGTCTTCATAACAATATGTAACTATGTGTTATCTTTTTAATTAGTTTATATCGTTAGGTACTAAGAGCTAGATAAGTATATGTCATGATTTTAAGCTTAAAAGTCTAATGAATGATATAGGAAATTTACTTTTTGTGTGAGGATTAATTCCTTAATCAAAGTCGAGCAAATCCGTAGGTAGATATTAACTTATTTAGTGTTTTTGACAGTGAGTAAAACTAAATGTTAGAAGTCTATAACACATTTTAATTGGTATTTTGGTCAATTGGTTTCTAGGTTATCGCGTGATAGAATTGATATTCGATTATTGTGATTCATCAAAAATGGGTTATTTTATACACTTTCTCTCTATAATAACCATGCAGTAAAAGAAGTTTTAATTCAATTAGATGAACATTTCATTATTGAATCAGTTCAATAGTTGATGATGAGATATTGATCTATTTACGTGAAATCATACAAAAAATGTTTACCAATACCTAGGTATATAAAATAATAAACAAATTATTAGATGGTTTTTTGACCAAGTAATGTCAAACTTTATGACTACATATTTTTATGGTTCTGATCCAAAATGTTTGAATGGAATCCTTATATTTATTTATTCTATACTCACGGTTTCACCCGCGATAAATTTCGATACATAAATTTCAATAATAAATATATCCTATGGGTTATTCTGATGCATAAGCTATATTACTGTAAAGTTTCATGAAAATCCGTTCAATTCAGTAGTTTTTGTGTAAAAGAGTAACAAACATCTATACTCACAAGCTTTCGCGTTTATAATATTATTAAAATTAAGATTTTATTCATTAAATCAAATTTGCCCACTAACTACCTTCCTCCAAATCAGTGCTAAACAGTCAGTATTATGCTGAGGTTAAGTGACTGTTTTAAGGTTTGTGGCCAAACCAGTAGGTAAATAGGTCTGCCTTGTATCGTTATGAAATTATGAATAGTTTCATAATACCTAATAATCATACCAGAAGTAAGGAGATCCGAAATCATCATCACCATCTTTGCCATCATCATCATCATCGCCTTTATTCCATAATTATTTTTGGATTCGGAGTCTTTTGACCTACTAATACTGTCTGTCGTTTATTTCTCTTAGAAGTAAAGTGAATCCGAAAAGGCACTTGTAGCTTAAATGGGATAACCCATATCGAAGAAGTTTGTTCGCTATAATATCAAATAGCCATGAAATACTATCTAAATAAATCATGATTCATGATTTGAAAATAGAACGTCGGACATACAGTGGCGACTCTGAAACTTCACGACGGCGACGTCGCCAATGAAATAAAGTGCGTATTTTTTTAAATAACATTATTAAATTATAACACGTAATATTCCTCCACCACAGAGTACAATATTTTATCTTGATAAATTATTAAATAGTTAGTTGTAGGGAAAAAGAATTGCGCATTAACTGCATGTTGAGTTGAATTGAAGCAATTATCCAACTACAACACTATGCAAATTCAAGTGTAGTACGTAAGTACATCATTATTCTTCATAATTGATTTAAATAGGTGTCTGGTACCTACCTGTAACTGTAAAAAGGTATAATCCTTTTATCTTAAATCACGTATGCTGTTCGCGCCATTTATAAACATATCAAGTGGTATGGTATTATTCCCCATATCCTAATCCCTTTCCCGCGCACAGTATGTCAACTGAGGTCGCCCGACGACCTCGTCTACTAACGTGAATGGTGACATCTCGTCCCAACCGCTCCGCTTTAAGTTAATTAATATAATATATTGACATTAAAATAAGTAACTTTGTGTGCGTGCCTGTGTTAAACTTATATTCATCAAGTGCAGCAGCTGTGCAAGAATACACCCGCTCTACATTCGCAGGTACGTACTGTGCAACTTATTTAATTTCCATACAGTCCACTTACCATATCCGCTATCCCCCATTTCTCCACATGCAAAGCCCTAGTCTATGGTTTTTACTTAATAAAATGAATTTTCATAAGTAACTACGTATGTATGTAATATTATTTTATCTGTGCTAATAGGTAGTAGGCGCTGAATCCACATATATGATAAGTAAGTATAAGATAGGTAGGTATCTATATTCTACTTGTGTACGCAATAACATTGCCCTTGTTCTATTCAATTCCGTTTAAGTCCATTCAAACATTATCAGAAACTTTCACATTTACCTATAATGTAGTAAGACAAAACGTACCAATACCATTTTTTTAAAGAAATAATGTGTCTGAATGTGTTATTACTGCTAAGCTTAAACTATAATTTAGATATTCGGACTCTCCTGGGGTAGACAGAACCATATCCGTTTCTTTACAGTTTTTTAATTCTCCCTATATATTTTCATAACTTGTCATATAGTGTACATACCTATAGGTAATATCGGCGCTCAAGTTATGGTTATTAAATACGCAGATTCTTTGTACCTTGAACTCTAGGTATAGGAAAGAATGTTGAAGAATGTTTTTTCTTATAAAGAAACAATTATCCATGTGGGAGTAAGAATGCAATATCACCACTTTATTTCATGCTAAAGATGCCGTTTGTGTCATCACATTTTGGTCATCCAAAATAACAAATCATAATATGTGGATGTGAGAGAAAGACTGCTCGAAATAAAACCCAATACCGATTTAATCCGGCAGTTGAGGTAATAGATATACGAGTACGGTCGACTTAGGGGAGGTGACTTATGATGAGACTCTATTATTAAAATAGGTTACGATAGCCATAAAGGTATGTTTATTATTGACACTTGATAGTAAACATTTGCTATAAGTGTTATAAGTATGTATATACTTACTACCACTACCTATAATACTTATAGACAATCGACCTAAATATTTAGGTTAGAGTGTATCAACTGCATATAATTAACAAAAATGCTGTGTCGCATATACCTACGTCATATTCTTCATACAATTCTATTTCTGAGAAATTCATTATTCTACGAATTTAACCTTTTTATGTATATTTTTTAATGAATACCATTTTATAAATAAATCTTTTTTTGTAATTAAGTAACCTGAAAGTTACTCAGAATGGAAAGAGTTTTTGGTTTACACAAAATCTCTTCAGGAATTCAAATGTAGTGGGATGGGGTCTGAAAGGCTAGTGCGGCTTTCAATTCCTCAAGTGAAGAGTGTTAGTAGCTAGTACTTCGGCACATGGCTTCGCGGCTGCACGTTCTCTCACCGCACCGCAGCCAACGGCCGCAACTTGTAGAAAGCGCGCGCGTGACATTTTATCTTCCTATTCCATTCGAATTTATTATAAACATTTAGTGTACTTACTATCCACGGGATTATACAATAGGTATTTTATCATTATAATAATAAAGTTTTTTTTTTATAATATTAAAGTCATGTGGGTGTTTCAAAGGGTGCGTATTATTGTTATCAGTTATATAGTTTGCAATAATAATTAAGTAATAGAAATTTTAATTAAACTTGAAGTAGTTGATTTGGTTCTTTGACTCCACTATGTTTGGATAATTCATAAAAAATAAGTTTAAAGGTACCTAAAACATTTTACCACGAAATTAAAAAATATATCAATACAATGTTTTATATGTGAAATTTAAAAATCTCCTTATGTATCTATTGTTGTTTTTGTAGAATACAATAAATGTACTTTATATTATGGATAGATTGCCTATTTTCATGAATAGTTTTTAATTACTAAAAAACATAATTATTATAATCAGTAAAGTAAATATTAATTATGTCAGTTTTCCTAGATGTATCAGACCTCTTCAAAACCAAAACCAGTAAATGTTATCTTTAGGTATACTTCAGAAATAGTTTATGATATAAATGTATTAAGCTCATTTAATGTTTTTTTACAAGGTACTTAACATATCTGTAACCAACAAATAATTTCATACTAGATATATAGTTAGTCATTCTAAAAAATAAATAATACATAACGAAAAAACATAACGAATAATACAGAAATTATTATCTCGCCCATTAAATTTTATTATTTAATATAAATATCTTAGGTGACTGAGATGGGTTGTAGTTACTTTAGTCAAATTAATATTATTTATATAACAGTATTATTTGATAATACTGTTATATATAATATTAATGGTTACAGCTACAATTACTTATGGTGTAGTTAAAAATGCTCTTACAAGTTATATCAATATATTAATCTTATATATAAAATTCTCGTGTCACAGTTTTCGTTCCCATACTTCTCCGAAACGACTTCCTTCTTCCTTGACCGATTCTCATGAAATTTTGTGAGCGTATTGAGGTCTGAGAATCGGCCAACATCTATTTTTCATCCACCTAAATGTTAGGGGTAGTCCACGCCTACATTTTTTTTTTACTTTAAGGCAAAACAACGTTTGCCTGGACAGCTAGTAGGTATATATACATTATGCGTTCATTTGTATTACATAATTTTCATTTAGTTACTGTGTAAATTTATTACATAGTAATTAAATGAAACACTATTTACTCATTCAATGAGTACGTCCTCTAACTAAATGATAAAATTAAATCAATAAAAAATTTACTCATTTATCAATCTGTAGTTACAAATGCGAATGCGAATATTGGTGGTAGTGTGGTAACTAAGTAGGAGTACTTTATTTTGACGCTTATTGAATTGCGTAGATATCCACGTAATTACCATATAGGTATAGATTAAAACGAGTTCAAGTGTGCTTTTTTCTATAAAGTTGAAATCTATTAATTTACTAGTTACAGTAATATTAAAGTGAATAATTTTTGTGTGCTATTCGTTACTCGATCCAATTATTATCTTTGCAAACAATGCAGGGACTCATTGAAATATGCACATAAAATTTCATCCAAATCTATACATCCATTTTGGAGAAGTTACAAGACAAATAGACGTACAGAAGAATTATATATATTATCTTTAGATATGAAGATCAAAAGAACATAGCTTTTTATAGTATTATTTATTTTTAACCAGCATTCGACAGGTAATAATATAGCAGTTTATTGTAATTTATATATCAATAATAATTGATGCACTTTCATTAAATTGTTAATATTTTGTTACAAACTGCCCCATTGACGATGTGCCTACCAAATATACGAGTGTATGAGTACGAGATACTCGTATATATATTATCAGTATTTGTTTTATAGAAATGTGTTAATCAAAATGCAATGCAATGAAAGAAAACCATAAAAATGACAAACTTAATAAAATATTTATTGCCATTCTTAAAAATATATGAATTTAATTGTAAATTTACTTTAAAATTCTACAATAATATTAGATTTCTATTAATGGTGCAATAATTTCGTGTTGTTTGCCTACTAGATAATTTTAGTCACACATATAATTAATATTTCACTTAAGTAATGTATGGAACATTAGTCAAGTGAAAGCTCTCAGGTTCATTTAACAATGGCGTAGAGGTGAGATGTATATAAATTCGCGGATTAAACAACGGTGAACTTTATATGAACCGGCGTTAATGTATAAATACAGATGCATGCTGGAGAGCGCTAGTTGCGTCGCGGCGCCTTCACTTTCTCTTAATTAATACATGCGCTTCCAAAATGCACGTTAGATGTTATTGTCAACGCATCCAGTTTTGGTATTGTCTCAGTATTTTGACTAAATTCAGTATGTATATGAATAATAATATGTGCCAATTGGTTACTAACTTTTATTTTCTCTTGTTGGTATAAGATAGGTACATTTAAATTATCTTAACATATATAATTCCTCTGTACCTACATGTGTTCATCACCATATTTCTCTTAACTGACAGGAAGAATTTGGATTAATATCTATATTCTCGATGTTTCGAAAACACATTTGGACCTGGTATATGTTGCTAATGTATAAATATTTTTTTAACGTAGATACTTTTAGCAATATGTAAACATTGATTTAATTTACGTACTTAGTACTAATGCTTCTTTTCAAATAAATTTTGTGGAAATCGGTTTAATTTTCGCATTTAGAGCACCTATATATATTTACTGAGGCTGAGATTTAGATCCTTAAACGTTTATGTAAACAAGTTTTTAAGAATTTTATTTATATAAGTAGATAGTAATTTTTAATATATTTAACATCCATTAACTTCCTCGTGGCGGTACTTCTTTGAAACATTTAATCATGACTTTATTAACTACAGTAGGTTAATTAAAAATATTGGTGACAGAATGTACAGAATCTTTGAATTGAAACTTTAAATCAAAACTATGATTACATATTATCAGAACTAGAGATTAATACTGTGCAATTCAACTGACATTATCTACTGAACTGTGCCATTTGCATCTACGGAACTCGAGCGTTTGAAATCAAGTGAAAGCCCGTAATTTCCTTCATTTGTGTCTCAGTCCGAGTTAAGTGGTAAAACAAAGAAGAGTTCACAAACAATGGATCACCTGTTCCGTCAGAGGAGGATTAGCGTGCCTAAGCGGTAAGTACTTTCATCCCAATTTTCTTATTTGGATATGGCTGGTTGGTAACAGTCTCACGTAGTTTTAAAGATCTTTGTCGTCTATAAATGTTCGTATTCTTATCCATATTGGACTAAGTCATGAGCTCAAAGACGGCAAGTTCTTAGCTAACTATCCTTTTGTGTTATAACCTGTCAAAGAAACCAGGAAAACTTTTGCTTTTCGCCCTATCTATTGTCATTTAATTTCAGCTACGATTGCAGAAAACACTAGTGAATGATGATAATAGACATAAACATCGATTTCCTATACCAAGGTGAACGACACAGTTCATAATTATGCCTTTTTTTATTAATTATCTCAGGCGTGTCTAACATTGTACATTCATTTTTATGTATCTATTCATTTGTAAATACTTTTTATCGGGACCTATCTAATTCTTTCTCTTAGTATTTAATTAAAATATTATTTGGTAATAGTCAAAATTAGTAATAGTAAATAGGTAGTAATAGATCGTAGATATTAAAACACAAATAAATTATCTGTCGTACTTTATCGAATATGGTATTCGTACTTGTATATATAGACAAGTTGCGGATGTTACGTTAACGCATATTGTAACATTTCATTTAAATTGACACCGTAACATTATGTAATAGGCGACTAGGAAAGTGTCGATTCGAGGAGATTTTCGTGGACAACCACGTGTGAAGTTGTCGGCGACGGCAACCATGCGACAAGAAACTCGCGACGGGACCGAACTGGGGTTTGTAACTGGAGCATGAAAGTAATTTCTAGATAGATCAATTTTTGCGGCGATAGGTGTATGTTTTCAGATAATACTATATTTTTTACATATTTATAAAATTTTAATGAAAGCAAAATTATGCTGACGTATTATAAATGTAGAGTGTATTCGTCTCTGCATAAAGTAAATGAACATTACTTTTTCTGTGGTCTGTTATTGTTTTTATGCTTAGTAATTATAATACATGTTTTCTTGAGACCTTAAGCTCTCAAGAAGAAGACGTTAACGTCTTAAATATATATTAACTATATATAGTTGTATGCATGTAGTATTTGCCATGTAGAAGGAGGGACTACTACTTCGAAGGTTATTTTTGTTAACTCTACTTTCAAATAGGTCAACTGATGTTTCTTAAAATCTTAAGAAACATTACGTACCAAACTAGTTTTTAATTATTGATATCAATTACAAAAAAACATATACCTAATTGAAATTATTAAATAGGAGTATGCGTATAATTAATTTCCCGAATGATCATTGTTAATTATAACAATCAACAAGACGATGATTTACACAATTGTTAAGATGTGGAAAAGACATTTCTATGAATAGAAATGAGGAACATAATGATGCGACTTTAAATGAAATCGTACTGAGAAAGCTTTTAGTCAGAGGTAACGTACTATGTTCTAGTTTTTAAAAGAGATGTAAAATATTTCAAACCAGGGTATATTTACGAGACATTTAAAAATGAAAGTAGAAAAATAACTGCCATATTTATTAATTAATGTTTCCGTATAAGTATGTGCATATATTTTCTTAGAATCTGAAAATTAATATTTATAAAACTTTTACAGTGACGTAAATATTTAGTTCAAACATACCAAAAAAGAAACAAAATTTTATTTTATTTGTATTATAATGCTGTTTGTTTTATCAGCGGATATAAAATTTTAAATAAAAGTATAGATATAGAAGATTAGATAAAATTTAAGTTTAATAAATATTTGATAAAAAAAAAGGTTGGGATATTTAGGACATTATTCATATTTAAACTTGGTAATTGACGCCTGATTTAATCGTTCACATATCAAGTTATTTATAAAATGTAGTTTTATAAAATAATATTAACTTAAATAACAACAAGAGTTACCGAGTGTGACGTATATCAAAACATCCTAAACATTTTGTTTTGGAGATTAGTGTAAAATAAATAATAAACGGTATATTATTTTACTAATGTCCTAATATTTTTTTGTATCAGTAATTAAATAAATTTTAAATCAGATTTCAGTTAATGTTTTTAATATCATTATAATATGAATGATTGCGGTAACATTTACCAATAAAGAAATTTTTACATTTTTAATTCGTACACGGATTAAGAAAAAGGGCATTTTAATTTGGTATTCGTTCAGTAGTTCATTTATCTCTCAGACCGATCTTAAAATGAAACATTTTAAGATCTTTGCTTCTAGTACAGAATTATAGCTTATTTTTTAAAATAACGGGTAACGTTTTTATATTAATTCTTGAGTCATAACTATATTAAAGGAACTAACATTTTTGTTTATGTTAATTATATTTGTTATCCATTTAAAACTTACATAGATTGGGCGAAGGAAGACAGGTTATCTGTACAATGTTTGGAAGATGCTGAGATGAATCTGCGCCAGCGCAGCGCCTGCGTGAATGTAAATGCTTGATTTCAAATGAGATAACTCGACTAGTAAACGTGTAAATATCAACATCTTTCACTCTAGAAATCTGTGAACGGCAAAACTGAACGTGTTATTGAACTTGAACATTTACTATCGATAGAAATCTGAACGCGGTGCGTTTTATTTTAGAAAACATTTAATTGATATAACACCCACTACATTTTACCACAGCAATATTGTACTTGTATGCATTGGTGATGCTATCTAAGTAATAAACTTATAAAGTAGCTTACTTTGCAAGCTTTTCCGGTTTGTAACGCAACGCTGGTATACTGAATGTGATAACCTGATAAGCCTCTCCTCAGGATTGGTAACTCATAAGGCTTACCATGTCATAATCTATTTTGACAGGACCGTAGTGCTGAATAGATCTAACACGAAAGAAATTAAAAAAGGTTAAAAACGATTAAAAAAGATTAGTCAAAAATCGATGTAAATGTGAAAATGTCCTGAAAATAAAAGGATCATGTAATTTTTTTGCAGTCGGTTGAAAATTCACGCTATAACGCAACCTAATAACAGTTCCGCTTTTTGTTTTCTTACGTAATATTATGAACGCGAAAGTAATTATGCAAACTGTTTGTTATTAAAATTAAGTTTATTTGTTGCTAAATTTACACTAGGTACGTATACAGATTTTTTAGTAATATCCTTCCAAACAAGTAGTTTCGATATTGCCTCGGTTGTTTATTTACTGTTTGTTTGTCCGTTATCTAATAGTTGTACGCTTCACTTCCTACCCTTGCGGTTACGGTCACGGTCTCACAACAATTATATCCACAGTATCGACATGCCAACTGTTACACGCTGCTGAACAATCGAAACTAGTCTTTGAAGTCTTGGTATGCAGTGAACATTATTCGTAATAATAAGATGCGCCTCTGGAATAAATGGATTTAGATCAAAGTCACAAGTTTGTTAATAACCATTTGTAATAGTAATAACCCATGGGTCTAGATGGTGCTGTATATTGTACAGCACCATCTAGACCCAAACTAGGTATGACGGCTAAACTATACTCTGGTTATTACAAACTAAGTAAGGTTAAATATATTTATTTTTGTAAATACATACATAGTATGTATAGAAAACACAGAGACTAATAAACATAATCATACTCATGAATACAAATGATCATAACATTCGATAAAAAGTTCTGCAAGCATCGAAAGCTAGAAGTGGTTCGACTACCGAGACCGTTGCTTAAATTAAAACTTTTCCCTTACAATATAAAAGTGGAAGATGACTAATAGACATTAAGGCCATGTTTAGATTTTGAAAATAGTGAATTTTCAAGTCTAAGAATTAAGCATGAATATTCTCCGCGTGCGGTACATCTTCATTATAACAGCCGATAGGTAGTATTTAAAAGAAAAAATATAATTAGTGTCTTAACTATTGTCTTATATATTATTGGTATTTACACAAACCATAGCGTTTCTGTTTGTTGTCAGAACTTTTCACAATAGGAATTTCTTTTACCTACTTAAAAGTACACACTGTACATGTATGAGTAGACAAAACTACACAATATGTTCTTGTAACAGGATATCCATTGTTCTTAACCGTATGTAAGTATATTTAAACTAGGATCATTCTTTTGTACGAATGTTCAACTATGCAAAACTAGAAACCTATTCATTTCCATGACCATTATATTAAATCTGATTAGTCAACGAAGAAACCCCATGTATAAATATTTTCTACTTCAATATTGAAATATACTTGAAATCAAAGGTAACAAAAATAAAAAACAGCACTATTCTGATAGCTGACAATGATGTTTTTGTCGACCAAACAGCTTCCGAAAGAGTGCATGTAATTTAGAAACAGTTCTGATCCCGTTGATCTGTTCTTATTTGGAAAATTCAATAGAAACCAACATAATAGGTCCTTTTGTTGGAACACGACGTGTGCTGGGTTCTAAAATTGAGGGACGCACAGTTAGACCATTTCGTTCTTGGGGGTCAGTACATATAGTACGTAGATACTCAATGAATTCTGTTGTTAAACAGTTACCGTTCAGTGTTCGGATATCTTTCGTATCTACTTACCGTCTCTTAGTGCAGCAATTGCTTAGTTTTATATACATACAATCATAATTATTTTGTGCCAATAAGAATGATGTTATGACTTCCGTTGTTATGTCTAAATTATGCGATTATGGACTAAGGTCTCGGTTAAAAGTAAGAAGAGGCTGTAGCTATTTGTGATTTGTATTTTAGAAAGTACATATTTGAGATTTATAATATAACGAAAGTAGTAGGTATGGAATGTAACTTTCTTTGGTGTTGCACGTTTTTCGAGGAGTTTATTTGCGTTAATTAGTTCGAATATACTTGATGTCGGTCGGAAACTTGTAATCGAGGTGCAGTTCACGTATTTAATGTCGCGGAAGGCTAATAACATTAGCAAATGTATGGCACCGGGACAATGTACAGTCAGTCACAGAAATTAATCATGTAAAGTATGTATGTAAGTAATTGGCTTAACTAATTTACAATTTAGATGTTTACACATGTCTTTGTGTGTGAGTGTAAGTTTTTAAGTC